AGGCAGTATCAGAGGAGCAGGAGAATCGACATCAGTTCCTCTGATACTGCCTGACCTGCTGCGTTCCTCCAGCGCCACACTGTATCAACTGAGAATTTAAAGAGAAAGGAATCATTAAGTTCTCTCAGGTTGCAAAATTTGGCTGCATAGTGCCCATTTTTGTTTCAGTGATAGTTTCAGAAGGGTCTAGACCGGAAACGTCAGCCTTCCTGCTCCTCTGATGCTGCTTGGCCTGCTGTGTTCATCCAGCTCTACACCTTGTTATCTCTAATGTTCATTTTTTTCTGGAATGAGAAGCTGTGAATTTGTAGTATAAGTTGTAACTGTGGACATTGTTCACATGTGAATAGCCATACATTTTAAGTAGTACGTTAGAGTAGCAGTGTAGTTGATTGGATATGTCATTTGAAGATAGATTCATTAACTTGGATCATTTGTTTGAGGTTACTGAACTTCTTGCACACGCGATTGAGCTCCATCAGGGCTGGACTCCTGATACTGATTATCATGGCAATCTGTTCCCAATGCCTTTGCACACTTTGTCTGGATAGAGAATGAACAACTCTCCAATTCCTGGAAAATCTTAAATCCTGCTTACTATTACATTGTGTCACCTTTGAATCTTTCTCAGTTCAGAACCAAATCTGGAATGACTTTCAGGTCTTGCTGCAGCTAGAAAGCATTTCCTAGTGAGTACCAGCTTTAAGTAGTGCTAATGTTCACAGATTTGCACCCTCCCTTAAACAGTGACATTTGCAGCCTCTGAACAGTGCAGTTTGTACTGGCTTCAGACAGCTGTCACACAAACCAGGAGGTAGCACAAAGCTGCCACGCTGTTTGTATCAGAAACAAAGAGCACAAGATCCATTACGATTTTTGAGCCCTACCCATTTTCACATCCAGAGGTTTTTAAATCTTGGGATAAATAACAATCTCTTTCATGGTACAATCAAATGTCCAGCTGCAGAATTTTTCTTTTAAAAAGTCATTTCAAATACCTGGCTATGACTGCTTATGACTCTATATTAATATTCTATTAAAATACCACAAAATATTGAATATCATTTGAAAGATTAACTATACCCCTGTAACAAGATTTTATAGTTGTTCCATTATTTGTTTCTACAGTGAAAAGAGATTTGCATTAAACCCAAGGATAAAATGCGATTGCACGCTGACAAAATTGTAATCACATGCACTCTGGATTCATTCTTACTTTTCTGACAGGTGTTGTTATCATCACTCAAATGAAGCTGATATAAGCTGTTCTCGTAAAAGTCTGCTGTTGTCTGATTAGCAAGTGCTGGAGCACAATTGTGATGTTCACTGTGCAATTTACATGTATATTAAATGTCATTTATTGTAAGTTTTGGTTTTTGATTTAGTGATATATGGGTTTTCTATGTCTGAAATTAATAGTTAACTTCTAAATATATGTTTAGCCATGGTGATTTAAAACAGTTTTGTGGTCTAATTTTGAATTAATGGATTTTCGTAGACACTGGTATGGTTTTATGACCGAACAAGATAACAAGCTCCAATTCAGAATGTCAGTCAGGCTTTTAAGCTTAAGGGAAACACCCATAGCCTAGAGAGTGAGTTTGTTTTTGGATTTAAGTTGAATATTGGACTGTCCTTCAATGAAGATGCTTGTATAGACCAATGCCCCCTGAGATGGGAAGTATACTTGTTCAGCATGTAAGACAAAGTGATACAATAATCTGTTTTAATGTCAGAAAGGAAACTCATTCAAGAAATGAAACTTGCCTTTAAATTGAAGTTTTGTCCTTTTAAAAGTTTTATCTCTGATTTGTAGAGGAAACTTGCAAATAAAAACAATAAATGTGCTGTATGCTGATCTGCATCAAGCTCTTGCACTATTTTTTAGTTACAGAGAAGTGTATTTACATAAATCAACTGATTCCATTTAGGGGAGCAGTTTAATTTAGGTCCTTACTAACATTTTCAATTGCACAACCAACATGGATATGATTTTCTAAATGTCTGTCTGCATTATGATACCATCTAGAAGTTCAAGGCCAGCAGATGCATGGGAACACCACCATCTGCAAGAACCATTGCAGTCCATCTAGTGTAGGTACACCCAAATCATTATAAGGAAGTGAGTTTCAGGACTTTGACCCAGTAACAGTCAATGCTCAGTGATTTAATTCCAAGTCAGGATGGTGTGTGGCTTGGAGGGGATCTTGCAGGTGGTGGAGTTCCCATGCATTTATTACCCTTATCCTCATGGTGGAAGAGGTCCCAGTTTAGGAAGGTGCTGTTGAAGGAGGCTAGTTGATTTGAGTTGCAACATTTAAATGCAGTACATGGTGCTGCCTTTGTGCATCAGTGCTGGAGGGATTGGATGTTTTAAATGGTAGGAGGTGTAGTGATTGTAATGAGATTGTCCAGGTCGATCTCATAGAACATGAATTCCCTGGTTGGTACTGTTAATCAGCCCCGTCAGAGATCCCTGGCTGACAGATGAAAACGGGAGTGTTAGAGGTTCTGTTCACTCTGTGAGCTGGCTCTGAGGGAGCTGGATCAGTGTCAAGGACTTTCGATCTATAAAAGGGTGACTTGGTGACAGGATACCAGTCTCTGTGGAGCTATTTCAGTGACAACGAAAGAAAAGCACGCTCTTGAAGAAATTCACTTTCAACAGTTGTTTTTGTAAGCTTTTCTGGCATCATGCTGTTATTTGGGAAGCTTGAATGACAGAATCTTAGAATCCCTACAATACGGAGACAGGCCATTTGCCCATGAAATCCACACCGATCTTCCGAAGAGCATCCCACCCAGACCCACCTCTCTACCCTACCCCTGTAACCCTGCACTTCCCATGACTACTCTACTTGGCCTGCACATTGCTGAACACTATGGGCAATTTAGCATGGCCAATCCACAAAAGCTACACATCTTTTGACTCATTTGATCCTACCTTTAAAAGCTGGTCCCAGCATGTGGAAAGGTAGCGTTATTTTTTCCAGGCAAATGACATTGGGTCAGAAGAAAATCAATGAGTAATTCTCCTGACAGCTTGTGGACTGGCAGCTTTTTCCGTTATTAGGAGCCTTACTTTCTCTGAGGCACCAGATACTAAAACCTTTCAAGAGTTGATGGATTTATTTAAGAAATATTACAACCCCAAGCCACCTCTAATTCTGAGAAGCTATTGTTTTTACTCGGCAATTCAAGAGCCAGGGAAATCCGTATTGGGATTTTTGACAAGATTAAGACGACTGGCAGAGGCATGTGGCTTTAATTTAACCCTTCATGAGATTCTGAGAGACTGTCTGGTATATGGGATTTATGACGTGACCATGCAAAAGCGCCGACTAGCTGAAGTCCAACTGGACTTCAAACAGGCACTACAACTGGCTTTATCATTGGAAAATGTGACCAGTCGAGCTTATGAGTTGCATGGTGTTCTGATGGAAGCGGACACCATCGCCAGTCTGACCGAGCTTAGGAAACAACACTTGAGTGAAGGCAATTGCATAGCCTCACTCAGGACATACCCTGAACAGAGGGACTCTAGGTCAGCCCACAGCAAAACCCCAAAACAAAGCCAAGCATTGGCCAAACGGCTAAAATTTTCTTCAGGATCCGGGCCAGCAAGCCACGGTAATTGCTGCCAGTATGCAGACTTGAGACAATAAAAGAGTACCACTAGACCTAAATTGAGTAAGAGAACGCATAGGCCAGTATCCCAAAGAGTGCACATCCTCAAAAGTCCACATACCTCCAGTTTGGAGCAGTTAAATTACTGAGCAACATTCAAATTAGAACCAATCAAAATAAACGTCTGATTAAATGGTCACCTGGTTCGAATGGATGTTGATACCGGTGCGGCTGTTTCAGTGATTGCAGAAGTAGTCTTTAACAAAACTCGCTCTGGATTCCAACCCTTCAGTTTGAGCAAGACCTTGGCTAGACTGAGAAACTATACCAAGGAACACCTACAGATTAAGGGTATAACTTCTATTCCGGTCTTGTATGAGAAGCAGCTGGTTCAGTTACTGCTGATTATAGTAAACAGGCTCGGGCCCAAGCCGGATGGGGTGAAATTGGTTGAGAAAGATTCAACTACATTCACTCAACATTTTTTGATTAGAAAATGGTTTCCTGAATGAAGTCCTAATTAAATACCGAGAAGTCTTTCAGGAAAGTCCAGGGACTATCAAAGGAACCAAAGTCACCTTGCATGTTGACCAGGAAGCAAATTCATGATTTTGCAAGGCCCATCCAGTGCCATTTGCCTTAGGCAAAAGTAGAGGCAAAAATCAGAAGGCTGGAAAGCGAAGGAATCATCAAACCAGTCCAGTTTATGAATGAGCAACACCGGTCATACCAATTGTGAAGCCTGATGGGTTGGTTCGCCTTTGTGGGGACTTTAAACAAATGGCAAACCGTTTTTTGCAGCTGGATAAAAACCCAAACCCTCACATAGAGGAATTATATGCAAAGTTGGCAGGGGGGCTGTCCTTCACGAAGCTGGTCATGAGCCATGTGTACTTACAATTGGGTTTAGATGAGGATTCCCAGAGGTGTGCTGCAATTAATACCCATAAGGGGTTGTACCAATATATGATACTGCCATTTGGGTTATGATCAGCCTGTGCAAATTTTGAGCAGATGATGTAGAACATTTTACAAGGTCTCCCCAAGGTTGCCATTAATCTAGATGAAGTGCTAATAAGAGGGAAGACCAATAAAGACCACTTAGAGAACTTGGACATAGTCCTTAGGTGTTTCTCCCAAGAAGGTGTATGCCTTAGAAGGGAAAAATGTATGTTTGAGACTCCCCAAGTGACCTCTTGGGCAACAGAATCGACAAGACCAGGTTACATCTGTTGGAAGATAAATGTCCCAGTTTCTATTTGATTATAGAACCACCCCTCATTATAGCTCCAACAGAATTGCTAATGGGGGAGAAGAGTCTGCACCAGTTTAAATCTATCTTCCTGGACCTTGGAGGGGTGGAGAGTAGGGGGTGTTGATGATGGAGGATGGAGGATGAGATGGCATCAGGAATGCCAATGCTGCACACAAGACTCCACTAAGCGAGAAAGACAGGTTACTTCAGGGGATAAAGTTTTGTGTAGGAACAATGGGAATGTTAAGAGACATGGTTAATGGGAGGTCAGGTACAGGGATGTATAAAGTTTGGATAGGTGCAACAGTCCTGCCCAAGCAGGTGGACCATATGAAAACTGCAAACTCACAGGGCAGGAGAAAAATGTGCCTGGCTCCTCTGAACCGTCGGACAGATTCTCCCTCTCAGTCAAACATTGAAGAAATCTTGGAATCTGAGATGGATGCAGCCTAAAGAAGAGAATGAATTTTTTCCTGAGATGCTCTGGGCACAAAACGCCTGTTACTGTGCATTACATGCTACCTGTATGCAAGGCAGAGTCCGAAAACCTGACCTGGTGCAAAAATGCCCCAGGAGGAGCTCCGAGAGAGAGAACTCTGATGGGAAGGGATGTAGTGATTGTAACGAGGTCAGCCAGGTGGACCTGATAGAATATGAGTTCCCTGATTGGGGCTGTTAATCTGGTCCAATTCTGGGAGCCTTGTTTGATAGATAAAAACAGGAGCATCAGACATCGTTATCCTCTGAGCTGGCTCTGAGGGAGCTGGATCGGTGTTACAGACTTTCCACATGTAAATAAAGGGTGACCTGGTGACGGAATACCAGCCTCGGAGGAGTTATTTCAGGAGGGATTCTAATCAATTGGCTGCTTTGCCCCAGGTAGTGTTGAGTTGCTTGATTTTTATTCAAGTTGCACTCATCCAGGCAAATTGATAGTATTCCATAACATACCTGACTTGCGCATTGTAGACGGTGAACACAGGTATCATAAGGTGAGTTGCTTACCACAGAAGTCCCCACTTCTTACCTGTTTTTTTTTAATCCACAGTGTTTACTTGGCTGACTCAGTTCAGTTTCTAGTCAATGATAACCCCCAGGTTAATGATAAGCAGAGAATTCAGTGATAGTGATGTCATTTGACTGTCAAGGGAATATTATTAAATTTTCTCTCTCATTTGGGTAAAATTTATTGTTTGGCACTTGTGTGGCACGAACATTATTTGCTACTTTTCGTCCCAAGACTGAAAGTTGTACGCATATAGATATTCAGTGGTTCTGTATCTGCAGACTCAATGAATATTGTACAATCATCAAAAACGTCCCCACTTCAGATCGCATGATGGAAGGAATATCAGTGATGAAGTAGCTGAAGATGGCTGGGCCTAAGACACTTCTAATTTATGCCTTGAAGATGGTGGGCAGGCTTTGTGGTATCAAGCGGTATTATTGCATTTTGCTAAAATGATCAAGGGCAGGACTTAGACAATTAAAAGTAGGGCTTTGGGTAGTGTTGTAGAACAGAGAGATGTAGGGGTTCAGGTACATAATTCTTTGAAGTTTGCATCACATGCAGACAGGGTGGTTGAGAAGGTATTTAGCACGCTTGCCTTTGAATATAGGAGTTGGGATATCATGTTGATCTTGTACAGGATGTTGGTGAGGCTTCTCCTGAAGTACTGTGTCCAGTTCTGGTCATCCTGTTACAGCAAGGATATTATTAAGCTGGAGAGGGTTCAGAAAAGATTTACCAGGATGTTGCCAGGAATGGAAGGTTTGAGTTATGAGGAGAAGCTGGATAGGCTGGGACTTTTTCACTGAAATGTAGGAGGTTGAGGGGTAATGTTTATAAAATCATGAGGGTATAGATAAGGTGAATGGCAGGTGTCTTTTCCCTTGGGTGGGGGATTTCAAGACTAGGGGACATATTTTTAAAGCGAGAGGAGAAGGAATTAAAAAAGATATGAGGGGCAAAGTTTTTACACGGAGAATGGTTCATGTATAAAATGAACTTCCAGCAGAAGTGGTGGATGTGGGTACATTTACAATGTTTAAAAGACATTTAGATGAGTACATGAATAAGAAATATTTGGAGGGATGTGCACCAAGCGCAGGCAGATGGACCCAGTTTAGTTCGGGATTATGGTCAGCATGGATTAGTTGGATTGAAGGTCTGTTTCCTTGCTGTATGACTCTGAGGTGAGTTATTCACTGCAATCGTCCCAGTGTCTGACTTGCTGTTGTAGCCAAAGTATTTATATGGCTGGTGCAGTTAAGTTTGTGGTGAACAGTAGGCTCCATGGGACCACAAGATAACATTCATCCTAGCAAGCCTACTCCACCATTTAATCAAATACTGCAGTGTGTTTTACCCATACTATCCCCCTAACCGTTTATGACATTGGTAATCAAAAAGCTCCCAATCCCTCCATTAAACATACTCAAAGATGAAGCTTCCACAGCCCTCAAAATACAGAATTCCAATGATTTATAACCCTCTGAGTAAAAGAATTTTTCATCTTGGTCCTAAGTGGTATCCCCCTTATTTTTAAATTCTTCTCCCCGATTCTAGACACCCCAACCAGAGGAAATGCCTTTTGTGCATCTACTCTATCTATGCCTTTCTGTATTTTGTAGGTTTCAATGAAATCATCTCTCATTCTTTGAAACCCTGAAGAATACAGGCCCAGTTTGACTTTTCTCTCTTCAAAGCACAGCTGTGAGGTACTCCCTTACCAGTAATGCAACTCCCCCACCCTTTTACATCCCCTTCTATCACTCCCGAAACATTTAAGTCCTGGGACATTCAGCTGCTAGTCCTGTCCCTCTTTCAGCCAAGTCTGCATAATCACAATAATATCTTCATTCCAGATACTAACCAAAGCTCTAAGTTCCCCAATCTTGCCTATTATACTTTGTGCATTGAAACACATTCATTCCAGACGACCTACATAAAAAGCAGGACAAATCCAACCAGGCCAATTACCATCCCATCAGTTTACTGTCAGTCATCAGTAAAGTGATGGAAGATATCATCAACAGTGCTATCAAGCATTACCTGCTCAGCAATAACCTGCTCAGTGACGCCCGGTTTGGGTTCTGCCAGGGCCACTTAGCTCCTGATCTCATTAGCTTTGGTTCAAAATGTGGACAAAAAAGCTGAATTCCAGAGGTGTGGTGAGAGTGTCAGCCCTTGACATCAAGGATGTATTCAATAGAGTGTGGCTTCAAGGAGCCCTCGCAAAACTGGAATCATTGGGTATTATTGTGGTTAGAGTCATATCTGACATGTAGGAAAATGGTCATGGTTGTTGGAGGTCAGTCATCTCTGCAGGAGTTCCTCAGGGTAGTTTCTAGGCCCAACCATCTTTAGCTGCTTCATCAATGACTTTCCCTCCATCATAAGGTCAGAATTGGGGATGTTCACCGATGATTGCACAATGTTCAGCACCATTTGTGACTCCTCAGACACTGAAGCAGTCCGTGTCCAAATGCAACAAGATCTGGACAATATCCAGGCTTGCGCTGACAAGTGGCAAGTGACATCCATGCTACACAAATGCCAGGTTATGACCATCACCAATAAGAGGCGATCTAACCACCACCCATTGGCATTCAACAGTGTTATTATCACTGAATTCCCCACTATCAACATCCTGGGAGTTACTATTGATCAGAACGTCAGCTGAACTCACCACATAAATAGAGTGCCTACAAGAGCAGGTCAGAGGCTAGGAATACTGTGGCAAGTAATTCACCTCCTGACTCCCCAAAGCCTGTCCATCATCTACAAGGCACAAGTCAGGCACGTGAAGGAATACTCCCCACTTGCCTGGATAAGCGCAGCCCCAACAACACTCAAGAAGCTGGACAGTATCCAGGACAAAGCAGCCAGCTTGATTGGCATTGCATCTACAAGCATCCATTCCCTCTACCATCGACACTCAATAGCAGCAGTGTGTACTATCTACAAGATGCACTGCAGAAATTCACCAAAGATCCTCAGACAGCACCTTCCAAACCCACGACCACATCCATCTAGAAGGATATGGGCAGCAGACGTATGGGAACACCACCACCTTCGAGATCCCTCCAAGCCACTCACCATCCTGACTTGGAAATATATCGCTGCTCCTTCACTGTCGCTGGATCCAAACCCTGGAATTCCCTCCGTAATGGCATTGTGGATCAACCTACAGCAGGTGGATTGCAGAAGGCAATTCACCACCACTTTCTCAAGGGCATCAGGTGATAAATGCTGACCTATCAGCAACACCCACATCCCACAAAATGAATAAAGAAAGAACCTTCCCTCTCTTTCCAGCAGTGTTTCTCTGCTTGTTCTTGTACTTGGTCATGTTTGCTTGTTTTCTACCTCTCTCTCAATTTCTGAATCTACTGCCCTACTCATCTGGTTCCCATCCCCTGCCACACTGGTTTAAACCCTCCCTAACCACTCTACCAAGTACCTCCTGAAGGACATCAATCCCGTTCCTACCAAGATGTAACCCGTCCAGTTTGTATGCGTCCCACTTCCCCCAGAACCAGCCCCAATGCCCCACAACTCCAAAACCCATGCCCTCACATCATCTTTTCAGCCATGTGTTCATCCTATATATCCTGCTGTTTCTACTCTTACTAGCTCATGGGACTGGTAGTAATCTACCTTTGAGGTCCTAAATTTCAACTTTCTTCCTAGTTCTTTATATTCTGCATTTTGTACCTAATCCCTTTTGTTCCTTTTGTCGTTAGCACCAACGGGTACCACAACCACTGGCCATTCGCCCTTCCCTCCAGAATGTCTTAGTTTCATTTTTGTTACTTTCTCAATATACCCTTGGAATGTTTGCTGGCTCTTCAAAAAGTTTAAATTCCAAAGCTGTAGTCTCGTATCCATGGCAGAACTTGTCTCAAGTCTATGTATATTTTAAAGTGGATTTAGGTTGTTGCAATGTTTCCCAATAAAGTGGGATTATATGCCATCTGTGAAACTATGGTTCCTTTGCAAGCTATTACTTTGGAAGTGGTGTTGCTAAATGCAGAAAGATAAAGCAGTGCAAGGTGCCTTTCTAAATTCTTCTGGTTTTGTGCCTGAACTGATGCAATTCTTGGGAATGAAAAGTGCAATGCAAGTTTTATCAATAGAGAATCGGGTTGCAAAAGCAAGGGGGCTATATTGAATCCTTATGAAACTTCATTCAGGCTTCACTGGGAATATTATATTCAATTCTGGGTACTTTGTGTTAGGAAGAACATTGAGGCCTTAAAGAGAGGTCAGAAAAGATTTGCTTGTGTATTGCTGAAAAAAAGCAAGGTTTTCATCTTGTATTCAGAATGTTGATTTTCCCTTGAATTGTTTTTTTTTTATTAGAATTGTCCTGAGGGCTGCAAAATGAAAAAAACATTGATTGTTTCAGAGATAGCAGGAACTGCAGATGCTGGAGAATCTGAGATAACAAGGTGTAGAGCTGGATGAACACAGCAGGCCAAGCAGCATCAGAGGAGCAGGAAGGCTGACGTTTCGGGCCAAGACCCTTCTTCAGAAATGGGGGAGGGGAAGGGGGTTCTGAAATAAATAGGGAGAGAGGAGGAGGCGGATAGAAGATGGATAGAGGAGAAGAGTGGTGGAGAGGAGACAGACAGGTCAAAGAGGCGGGGATGGAGCCAGTAGAGGTGAGTGTAGGTGGGGAGGTAAGGAGGGGATAGGTCAGTCCAGGGAGGACGGACAGGTCAAGGGGGCGGGATGAGGTTAGTAGGTAGGAGATGGGTGTGGGGCTTGGGGTGGGAGGAGTGGATAGGTGGGAGGAAGATCAGGTTAGGGAGGCAGGGACGAGCTGGGCTGGTTTTGGGATGCGGTAGCGGGAGGGGAGATTTTGAAGCTTGTGAAGTCCACATTGATACCATTGGGCTGCAGGGTTCCCAAGCGGAATATGAGTTGCTGTTCCTGCAACCTTCGGGTAACATCGTTGTGGCACGGCAGGAGGCCGAGGATGGACATGTCGTCTGAGGAATGGGAGTGGGAGTTGAAATGGTTCGCGACTGGGAGGTGCAGTTGTTTAGTGCGAACCGAGTGTAGGTGTTCTGCAAAGTGGTCCCCAAGCCTTGGGGAGGGGTTGGTTTTCGACACAGGTTCATACCAAAGGCTACACTACCCATTATAAATCTGTGATGTGAATACCTGCTGAGAATTAGAGGTTAAGTTTAATTAATATAGCAAAGCCTGATTAAGAAACTTATGAAAAACTCTAATGTAAAGGCAAATCAAACAAGCCTAAATATGTGTTTATCTTACAAGGTCATAATCAGTAATGAAAAAGATCTTGAACAATTGAACACACGGTCTCTGGATTTCTGAAGGGACCCAAAGACTCTGGAGAAATGGTGACCAAATCTGTTAGCAGGATATATTATTCATATGGATTATAGAATCAAAGAGTTGTGTCGAACATGAAATAATTTATTTACATAAAATAAAACAAACACCTGCAGATGATGAAGATCTGAAACAAAAACAGAAAGTGGTGGACAAACTGAGCAGGTCTGCAGCATCTTTGGAGAGAAAACAGTTCATGTTTTCATCCAGTGACCTTTCTTCAGAACAGTGACTTTGAATCAGTTTCATACAAGTGAGTGGCTTGCCAGGCCATTTCAAAGCGGTTTTAAGGGACGACAACATCTTACCTTGTGTAGTAGGCTTTTACATTGCAAGATATTGAAAATCTTTCAGAGATTCAAATACACTAAATCCACAGTTTCCCCTGTGAGGTCAGTCATTGGAGGAGGTAGTGCAGAGTTCCCAACTAAATGTGGGAGATGATATTTAGGCCCTTTTTTATTGTCCACCAGCGTTGGCACAGAAGTAATACATGTAGTTATTCTAAGAAACCCTAGAATATGACTTTGACAAGTTTTGTTGAACATTTTTTATGGAATTGTATACAAGTTCTCACGGAAAAGATGTCTTACATATCTACCATCTTTTATGACCACAGAAGTGTCAAAGCATTTTAGAGCCGATGAGTTCATTTTAACGGGTGGTCACTATTATAATGGAGAAAACTTGACAGCCAGTATGCTGAAGGCAAAGTCCCACAAGCAGCAATGTCTAATGACCGGTTAATTTGCCTTTGTGAAATTGAATCGTGAATAAATATTGGCCAAGATCTGGGATAACCCATTAACTCTTCTTTGAAATATGGGATCAATTTACCTGAGAGGGCAGGTAGCCCTGTGTTTGAATTCCTTTAGTACTGCAATGGGCAGGTGTTTTGACTTTTGACCTCAAGTTCTGAAGATGGTCTTGAGCTCACAACCTTCTTAATCAAAGGAGCCTGCGCTACAGACTGCATCTTATACAGGAAACTCATACACTGGGGTATTCATTCATCTTTTTTCTCAAGTGTATTAGCTCAAATCCAGACTGATGGAACTTCAGACGAATCTGTTTGATAGCTGCATGGATCCCAAGTCATTTAGATGGGGTTTGGGTGATCTAAACCCCATTCCTTGTGTACATGCAGCCCACAAAGCAAAATGCCTCTGATAGTGCTGCAACAGTGCAGCCTCTTCTACAGTTGGAGCAATGGTAATTTCAGAGCAAACTTTAGCCTGTGAGTGATCGGTGCTGACATTCGGTGACTGCAATGGAAGGTGTTATAAAGTTGCGATAGTCTTACCTGACCATAATACTGCTCTCTCATCATAGAGAGATCAACTAGTGGTGATTTAACCTGAGGGTCACCACGACCTCAGCTGGTGCAGGAATTGAACCATCACTCTGTATTGCAAACCAACTATTCAGCAAACTGAACTAACCCATTCCTCAACATTCACATCCATCACATGGATGAACACAGTGAATAAACAAGTAAAAACACTACTCCTTCATCATCCTCTCACTACAAAATATACAATTGTGCTTAATTGGTTTTCCAAAAATAATTGAGAATGTCTTTCTCTGAATAGTATTGCCGCAATAAGCCATAATGTATTTAGATTCTAGATACGACAGGATCCTCTCTGGAAGGCTCATCTCCTCTGCCGGATTTTTCAAGTTTCAAGAATGTACAGCATATATTATTAACTAAGGTAAGAAATATAGTTCAAATCAGTGATTTTTAAATTCCAGTTTTTCATCAATGCTCTTGTCCAAATATCCTTGTTAGTATAAATACAAAAAATGGAGGAATGTGCTTAAGTTAATGACCCAATGCAATTTCATCACAATTGGATGAGTTCTTACGTTCTGCAATTTATTTTATCTCACTCATTTCAGACTGGATATCAACTCTGTCTATAAAGTGAAGAGACAGAAATTATGATAAATGATATGTAGAAATTTGCAATGTCTTTATTTATTTGTTCATTGAATGTGGATATCATTGGGTGGGCCAACATTTACTGCCCATCTCTAATTGCCTGTGAAAAAGTGGTGGTGCCCTGCCTTCTTAATCACTGCAGTCTATTTGGTATAGATAGTACCCCTAAAATGCACTGAGGGAGTTCCAAGATTTTGACTTGGTGATACTGAAGGAACTTGCACTTGATGGTGTTCAAATATATCTGCTGTTCTTTTCCTTCTTGATGGAAGTGGTTGTAATTTACAAGTTATTTAAGGAGCCTTGATGAATATCTGCCATGTGTCTTGTGGGGTACACACTGCTGCTACTGAGCATTGATGCTGTACGGATTGAACATTTGTGAATGTGGTACAAATCAAACAGGCTGCTTGGTACTCCGTGGTGTCAACCTTCTCAAGTGATATTGGAACTGCAGTCATCCAGGCAAGTGGGGAGTATTCCATTACACTTCTAAATTGTTGCAGAATGTTGCAGAATTTCTAATTGCTGACCTGCTGTTGTAGCTACAGGGTTTATATGGCTTGTCCATTTCAATTTCTGGTCAAGGTATTTCCCAGGCTGTTGATAGCGGGTATTCAGTGATTCAATGTCTTTTCATGTCGTGGACTGACGGTTTGATTATCTCTAGTCGGAGACGGCCGTTGACCAGGACTTGTGTGGATCGAATTGCCACTTGACAGACCAAACCTGGATGTTGTCCAAGATACTACTCCAGTATCTGAGGAGTCACCAGTGGTGCTGAACGTTGTGCAGTCATCCACTGTTCTGATTTGATGATGATGGGAAAGTCATTGATGAAGCAGCTGAAGATGGTTGGGTCTAAAACACGACCCTGAGGAACTCCTGCGGAGATGTCCTCAACTGAAATGAATGACCTCCAACATCTATTGCCATCTTCCTTTATGCCAGATATGACTCTAACCAGCGGAGAGTTCCCATCAACTCCAGTTTTGCTCGGGCTCTTTGATGCCACAGAGGGTAGTCACTCTGGCTTCACTTCTGGAACTCTGCTCTTTTATTCATGTTTGGACCAAGGCTGTAATGAGGTCAGGAGATGTGTGGCTTTGGTGAAATCTAAAGTGATTGCCTGTGAGTAGTTTGTAATTAAGCAAGTGCTGCTTGGTAGAAATGTTAATGACATCTTCCATCACTGTACTAATGATCAAGAGTAGAATGATGGGGTAGTAATTGACCAGGTTAGTTTTTGTGTGCAACACATACGTAGGCAATTTTCCACATTGTCAGATGCCATTCTTGTAGCTGTACTGGCACACCTTAGCTAGGAGCATGCTAGTTCTGGAGTACAGATGCTCAGTACTATTGCAAAAATGTTGTCGGAGCCCATACCCTTTGCAATATCTATTGCCTTCAGCCTGAAGTCCTGACATCAAATTCAGATTCTGAACAGTGGCATATATGATGTTGGGGATCTCCTCAATCAGCTGGCATGGTATTGCTGCTAAGCCACTCAATTTGATGCCGATTGAAATCCCCCATCCAGAATATTTTCTGTGTCCATCCCAGCCTTAATGCTTCTTCCAAATAGTGTTCAACATTCAGGAATACTGACTCATCAGTGGGGAATGTGGTAATCAGCAGAAGATTTCCGTGCCCATATTTGGCCTGATAGTATGAGACTTCATGGGGGCTAGAGTCAATGTAGATGACACCTAGGGGCAAAATCCACCTGACTATATGTCACTGTGCCGCACTCTCTGTAGGGTCTGTCTTGTGGGTGAGACACATACCTAGCAATGGTGAGTGTGTTGTCTGGGACGTAGTCATACTCCCAGGATCATACCTTATCGACAATGTCAGGCTGTTGCTTGACTTGTCTGTAAGACAGTTCTCCCAACTTGGGAACTAGCCCCCAGACATTGGTATGGAGGAATTTGCAAGATTGATAGGACTGAATTTGCTATTGTTGTTTTCAGTGCTTACATCCATGCCAAGTAGTCCGTCCAGTTTCATCCCTTTGAGCCATTTTGTTGTCTGTTGCAACTGAATCACTGATCTATTTCAGAGGGCAGTTAAGAGTCAGCCAGATTGATGTAGATCTGGAGTCACATACAGGGCAGATGAGATGAACGCAGTTTTCCTTCCCGAAATGTCATGACTGAACCGGATGGCAAATTTGGAAAAAAAACCCAATGGTTTCATGTTCACCATTAGATTTTTAATTCCAGATTTTAATAAATTCAAACTCCATCATCTGCCATTGTATGATTTGAACTGGGCCCCCAGGATATTACCTTGGTCTTTGCATAACTAGTCTAGCAATATTATGCCTCCCCATATAAATAATAGGAAGAAATGTGAATAGAGAGCTCAGATCTGAATTCCTAGAATCGAGTGAAGATAAATGGTTTGTTCATAAGGCATGGAACCAATCACGCCTGTTAATTGCTATTAAGTGTCCAAAGCTCAAGGTTACGAATGACCACTAAGACTTGGAATTTGAGGAGAGTTTAATGAGCACAACAGAATTATACTACACAATTTGTGGTATCCTTGTGCACTGAAACTAGAAAAAGTTAACTATAAACATAACTCTTCAACCTATTACTAATTAAAAACCTGTCTATTTCCTCCTTAAATTTGCTCAATATCCCACGTCCACCACACTCTGTGGTTGTGAATTTCTAAGCTAGCGACAATATGCCATAGTGACTCATGACACTGAGGGAAGTAATTTTACTTTATTTTTGTTTTAAATCTGCTGGAATGAGGCTGAAGCATTTTCAACATAAAATGCATGGTAGAATTCAAAATTTGATGTTGAAATTTTTTTTAGGATACGAATTCTTTAAAATCCTGTGGGAGGTTCTGGTTCTGAAGTCTGAATTAAACACCAGCTGTCAACTGGAACTTATGAGCCCTCATCAAGTCAGCCGTGTCAAATATTCCACTTTGTGTGAAAAGACTGTCAACTCAATGCAATTTGTTTTCTGTTTGCAGAGTTTCAGTTCATTTATTAGGTGCAGAAGTAATTGGGAAGTGGTTCTGACATGGGTGAAGTTTATACTCACATAGTTACAAAGAGGATTTACACTTCCATTTACAAATGGAAGACTGCAATTGGCATCCAGTTTCCAGGTCCACTTTTGTCATAATTATGCGTAGCTCCAGGTGCAGAGCTATTTGTGTGCAGGGAGAAAACTAGTGGTGCAAGTGAAAACTTATGGGTAAATTAAATTTAACCAGATGACAACATTAAAAGGAAGAAGTTTGAAAATGCTGAAAGCCTGTCTTCAATTCTAAAATGCATTTGAATCTGTTAGAAGGGTAGGCGATGGCCTAGTGGTATTATCGCTGGACTGTTAATCCAGCGACCCAGATAACGTTCTTGACACCCAGGTTTGAATCCTGCCACAGCAGATGGTGGAGTTTAAATTCAATAAATATCTGGAATTAAGAGCCTAATGATGACCATGAATCCATTGTTGATTGTTGGAAAAACCCATCTGATTCACTCATGTCCTTTAGGGAAGGAAACTGCAATCCTTACCTGGTCTGGCCTACATTTGACTCCAGGCCCACAGCAATGTGGTTGACTCTTAACTGCCCTCTGGGCAATTAGGGATGGGCAATAAATGCTGCCTAGCCAGTGATGCCCTCATCCCGTAGTGAATTAAAAAAAAGCATGTGCCAAGGTTGTAGGAGAAAAAAGTGTAGAGGTAACAGGAATAAAAAATTGGAAAGGAAACCGAATGTATACGTGTATCTGTAGGCAGGTACTGGAGCATCCTTATAACCAAGCCCTGTTTAGTGGGCATGAGTAATGAGATGTTCAAAGTGATTGGTTGTTGATATATGTGTCAGGTGGAGCCACATGAAATCAGCAATGAAAAGAACAGATTGCATGAACAGTAAATAACTTGGAAATGACCATCCATATTTAAGAGCTGGCAAAAAAAAATAAACCTAACTTGAATCTGCTGGCAGCAGAACACCTTTATGCAAACATTTGTTGTGAATGAGTGAAGAGGGCACTTTGTCAGAAACATAGCTCCATTATGGTCTGTTGACTCAATGTTATTACAATTATGCAGATTTTCCTGAGACTTACTCCTGTTTCATAGATGTGCTACAATTCGAGGAAAAACATCTTTTTATGAAGAACTTAAATTTCTCTGAGATTACTTCACATCAATCCACATCAGCACCCTGCTGTGAAAACTCTGCTTACATTTTGACAGCTGTGGAAAAATTTCCATTGCAGCAACTAAAACAACTTTCAATTTTGTAATACAAGCAGCATTTTCAATAAACAACTCTCAACCTTCGAAAAGAAAAAGTCAATTTGCCTTATCTTCAACGTAACAAGTTTCAGGATCTAGATCTACACCTTTTCTAAAAGCAAAATTAATCACTTCTTTTTTGGACCATCTGTGTGCTAAATTTCACTGAAATCCATACATTAGTTTTTGAAATATATCATTCACAGACAAACAGACTAACAAATAAAGGTGTAAACCTTAGCTCCATACACCTTCAGAGTTGGAGGTATATCAAATGTTTCAGAAAAATGCATGCCATCTTCCACGATATACTTTTAGATTTTGTTAAAGCATTTATTTATTTAAAATATAAATATATTTATAAATAATATATATTAAGAAGCCCATATATCATAAAATTTTAATATACAGTCAGCTTGTATAATAACAGAAGACCTGCAAGTGGGGTGATACATCAGAAAACACAACTTATAAATTTGTTGGTCGATCCAAAGAAAAGCTCCATTGCCATAGTAACTGACTGGCATTGCTAACCGTATGTAGCTGTTTGTCATCTGTCAAAAAGGACACCAACTGCTACTGATTCCCTTTCCTCTCAGTGCCACTCCTGTGCTAATCTCTGGTATTGCAGTTTCTGATTGTTAGACATAGTGTGAGTAGAGATACTCAAAGGAGAGCGTGGGCAGAGAACTGTTCCATTTGTCCTGATATGCACTGCCAGAACACTGACCTGGCCCCAGAAATCCTAACTGTCAGCCTAAAGTACTGATAACTATAATTTATATAACTAATGTGAAAAACAGTACAAGATAAGAATAATTATCACTGTATCATATCTACATTTTTCATCATTTTTAATTAGTCTTTAACAACATCATGTAATGTAATGCATTTATCAGTGTGACATTAAATAATAAATTGTAAATTAGCTTTTACTCCAATAAATGGTGGCGGTTTTGGATATTTAGAAATAAGTCTTTTCCTTCCCATGTCCCGAAAGCACTGGCTTGCACTCAAAAAAAATTTCATTTGCACTTATAGCCTGAAGGCATTTCATCCTTTAGCCATTCTTCATGTATAAGCTCAGAGTGCTGGCACATTTTTGAATTTTCGAAGAAAGGCATGGTTGCTGATCTCAGTCCTGTTTCCAACTCAGGTGTGTCCATGTTTACTCTTTGGCAGTAGACAAGAAATAAAATCATGGTTGGTTCTGCACCCCCATCTTGCCCACTGCACCAACTGAGTTCATGGACAGACAGAGCAATTGTAGTAATTCTATTGCTGTTAATACTGATATCAGCTAACAATATGAATTTATGACCAGGTGAGGAGGGGTGACAGGTGTTGTGATAAAGAACCATGTTCTTTTCAGCATGAAGCGACATCTGTATCAAATAAAAAATGTAGTTACTCAATCTCAATTGTATCAGTAAGAAACCAATTACAAGGTTTGAATGAAAGAAAGCTCAATTTTATTATTTGCTAATCTTGAGAAAAATAACAAAGATGTGTGTTAAGCATACATACACACATTTCCAAAATTAAAGGGGTAGTGCATTTTATGAAAGGAAAATGGAAGCGATTACAGTTTTAGGTCCTCTGGGTGTTCTTTGAGTTGTGATATTTTAACCTGACACCACAGTTGTTTAAGTATTGTCTTGTATCTTCAGCAGTAGGAAATGATTTTGTTGCCCTTTGAGTTTTTGGTGTTTTGATGTTTCTTTTTAATCAGCTCTGTCATTGGGCTCTTCTTCTTGAAAGGCAATGAGAGAGGGCTTGCTCGAATTTGACCCAGTCATAAAACCATCACTTCCTTTCTGCCTGAATAATGCTCCCTGAAATACAGTATAGTCCAATGTCTGAGTTCCTTATTCCCAAGCTTGGTAATTGTAGACAATTTTTCTCCCTGTAAAATAAAGTAGAAGGCAATTTATAGGCAATTTAGCATGGTCAATCCACCTAACCTGCACATCTTTGGACTGTGAGAAGAAACGGGATCATCTGAAGGAAACCCATGCAAACACAAGGAAAATGTGCAAACTGCACACAGACAGTCGCCCGAGGGTGGAATCGAACCCGGGTCCCTGGCGCTGTGGGGCAGCAGTGCTAACCACTGAGCCACCATGCCAAATTTTAAGGCAAATTTCCACTGGAAATCGACTGAGCCATTGAGCAGATCTGTCTTGTATTATTTGATAAATTAGTTATGATTCACTGCATTGCAAGGTGATGAATACTCAAAATACAGTGTGGAGCTGAAGGAACACAGCATGCCAGGCAGCATTAGAGGAGCAGGAGAGTCGACGTTTCAGGCCTAGACCCTTCATCTAGTGAGGGATCCTGATGAAGGGTCTTGGCCTGAAATGTCAACTCTCCTACTCCTCTGATGCTGCCTGACCTGCTGTGTTCCCCCAGTTCCGTACTGTATCAACTCTGACTCCAGCAACTGCAGTTCTTGCTATATCCAAACACTCAAAGAACCCCAGGTGTAAAATATTGATCTTTAAATTTAATTCATAGGATCAGTGTGGCCTTGGTCTAGCTATCAGTGAAGATAACACAAGTGAAGGAGTCATCATTAAAAGCCTTACTGACAATGGAGCAGCAATAAAGGTAAGAAATTGGTTTAAACAAATTTAGCATCTCAAGTACTTGCTGATTAGCAAGTTTGGAGATCTGGCATTGAATCTTAATATTATTCCAGATTTCCAGCATCATCTGTAATTTGCTTTTGGATTGTATAAACAGGTCTTTTTTAATGATGTTAAATATAACTTTCAATGTTAGCAAATTGCAACAGCATTGACTAGGATTTTTTTACAAGTTCCGCAGTAGCTAAAACTAATCTGCCACAGCTACATCATATGTAAGGCTACCACAGGTGGTCTCATACCATGCACCAAAATTCAATCCAAGGAAATGACTTCTGAGATATGCTATCCGATCTGTTCCAATGCTATAACTCAAAAACTTTGTACATTTAATGTAAATTCTATAGTATTATTTTCCTTCTTGCTGTCATTCTCCACACAATGTGACTGCAAAAGCAACCTGCATTTGTATATTACCTTTGACATGAAAATACACTCTTAGATGATGAGTGATGGAAAGTATGGTTGAAGCGACGTACTTAAATGGATTCCTGAAAGACGAGAGAGATAGAGAGTTTTATGGAGGAAATTTCATGGAACCTAGGCAGCTAAAGCCATGGTCAACCACTGTGAGGGCACAGGCGGGGAAGTTGTATGCAAAAGAAGCCAGAGTTAGAGGAATGGCATGTTTTTGTAGGTGTTATAGCACTGGAAAAGGTGAACTTGTCGATCATTTTAAATTTAGTTTAGGAGTCACTGCAGATCAGCACGTACAACAGTGATTGGTGAGGTTATGGTGGGTGCAGGATGGGAGACCAGCCAGATGTACCAGCCGGAAGTGAGAAAAGATATGGATAAGGATGTCAATGACAAATGTGGTAATATCAGGATTGATACTGATACTGATGTAGAACAGAGTTTAGGAAGGAAACATCGTGTTCCAAACTGTCCGGTTAATCTGCAACTCTGACCAGGATGTAGTTGAAATTTGACAGAAATTGCACAGAATTATGGCGGAATGTTGAGATGATGGCTTGGTATCATGCTGAACAAAACTCTGCCTCATCCAAGATTAGAGCCTGGATTTTCACGGAGATGTGGGAACATCTATGGCTTATCCAAAAGAACACTGGGAACCTGGTTCCAGATGTCTGTACCCCCAATTCTGTAAAAAAAAATCCTATTTTCGCAGATAGTGGAAACAGGGTGAGAACATGACTCACTAATGGGAAAAACTGACTTAATTGGGCCTTTTGAACTTATTTCTGACTTCAAACATAGCTCAGTTTTGCTGGAGTGACAGTCTAATCCCACATTGAGAGAGCTATGATTATTTTAGAATGATGTAAATGTTCATAAAGAACAAATAATGTCTGCAGGACTGTCAAGCTGTCAAACTATTCAAATGCCCTTCGGGATGAATGGAGGGGCAAGGATTGGCATGGAAAGTATGAAAGGCTACTGGGATGGGTGAGGCATGGATTGGCACAAGTTGGCACGACTGAGGCTTGGGAAACGGTTGGGTGTGAGAGTGAATGTGAAAGGTTATGGCTGGAGAACATAATATTTAACAAGATAGCTTGGACAAAGTCCCAGAAAATCAAAACGTGCCCTTATCTGCATGCCTCAAAACTCAGTCCCTGTAGCCATCTTAGACCTGCAAATTGAGGATGGTGGGACTGATGTAATATGCCTCAATATCTCATGGAATGACGATCCTGTCTTCGGGACTTTTTTTTTTATTTCTGAGGTCCATGCAGTGAGAAGGGAAGTTACCCAACTTAGAGCCACCAGCTAATGAGCCAAAAAACAGTCCTGCATATCAGACAAATAACAGGATGGTGCAGAGGCTGTAGAATCTCAGCACTAGGGGAATGATAAAGCAAACATAAAGAACATTGAAGGAAGAAAGCCAGACCCTGTTGACTATGCACTCTTCCCATGTTGAGGCCAGAGTAACCATGACTTGAGAACTCTTGCCCCTCATAGCTTCCCATCCTGATTTATAAGATCATACCCTTTGATTTTGATTGCCCCCTTTCTACTTTTCTCAGGACTCCACAGAGTGACCCTTGATAAGCTCCCTGACCATTAATGCCCAAATCCCAGGACTGACTGTAACACAACCCCTTGAAGGAATTGGCAAGACATTGCCATTGCGCTGTGGAATTCTTTACCGCAGAGGGTTTCAATGCTGGGCCATTGAGTATATTCAAGGATGAGTTAAATAGATTTTTAGTCAGTAAGGAATCAATGATTATGGGGAAAAGGCAGGAAGGTAGAATTGGGGATTATCAAATTAACCATGATCTATTGAATGGCAGAGCAGATTCACTGGCCTACTTCTGCTCTTATGTCTTATGGTCTTGTAGCACAGCTCAGCCCTCAGGCTGATATCTCCACAGCACCTCGACTGACTAATCTATGACTTGCAGACTGATTGCATTAGACCTGCTGGACTTAGAGCTCAATCCTGAACTGTACAGACACGGATCACAGACTCTGGTAGAACTGAGCACCTGATTGACTGTGGGCAATAACCTATGCTGTAATTGGACAAGCCCCATAACTAACTATGATAGTGTCCCCTGACACTCGCAGAGTACAGTGCCATACAGCAACATGTTGATCCTTGACTGTTCCATACTCCGAACTGTGAAAAATTGCCTGCTCCTTCCACTGTGCTGAAAAGTGTTGTAAGCCAGAGACGCTGACAGCTTGTAAGTCACCTCTGAAGAGCCAATGCTCTAAAATACAATGTAATACGGAAAGGCTAGCAGCTTCCATGTAACCGCAAAGTGAGTGTTAGGCAAGAAAGTGAGCTAACAGCCATAAGCATGCATCTACAGAGGTTCGTGAGTTGCGTTTGCATGCAAAGTGACCTGGCTGAAGCATACTAGCCATAAGTGTCCCAGAGTCCTGAAAGGCTGAAATGGTTTGAGAGTTGATTTGAAATCAGGCAGGCTGATATGGCAACGCTATTTGTGTGGGCAAAGATTTGAAGTGAATGGTGTCCATGAAACATGCAGGAAAGTGTGGTGAAGATTGAGTTGTCTGAAAGTGCTGAAAAGCAGCACTCTGACTTTCATTGAGATAGCAAGAACTGCAGATGCTTTTCTGAAGAAGGTCCCGATCCGAAACGTTAGTTTTCCTGTTCCTCTGATGCTGCCTGGCCTGCTGTGTTCCTCCAGCTCCACACTTTGTTAACTCTGACTTTCATGTCAGAAATTGGCACTGTCTCACTTTTCAGAGAATGAGAGGAGATTTGGGAGCTGTATTGAAATGAGGTGAGTTTAGCCAATAATGCAATGCAAATGCATGGAAAGAAAGTAATCACGGCTCATTAGCCGGATTGGGAGCTCATATTTAAATCCGAAGGGGTAAATCAAAAAAATATTTTCTCAACACGAGAATCTTATTTTTTCATTTTCATTGTGTTTTTTCAACTTTCTCACCATCGTTTAAGTCAAGAAAGGGAGCAGAAATTTCTGCATTGCATTTCTAAACTTTGTTCCTGACTTCCAGTGCCCCTTCAAGAGAAAACCCATTCCTCACATGTTCCCAGTCTATTCCCTCAAAGACTTCAATGTTTCAAAAAGATTAACTCTAATTCTTCTCATTTTTTTTCCTTTTTTAATTCATGGGATGAGGGTGTCACTGGCTAGGCAGCATTTATTGTCCATCCCTAATTGCCCAGAAGGCAGTTAAGAGTCAACCACATTGCTGTAGGTCTGGAGTTACATGTAGTCCAGACCAGGTAAAGATGGTAGTTTCCTTCCCTAAAGGACATTAGTGAACCAGATTTTTTTTTTTCCCAAAAATCAGCAATGGATTCATGGTCATCATTAGACTCTTAATTCTAGATATTTATTGAATTCAAATTCCACCATCTGCCAAGGAGGGATTCAAACCCAGGTCTCCAGAACAATATCTCGGTCTCTGGATTAACAAGCCAGCTAGGCCATCGCCTCCCCCTGTGATTATAATGTGTAAAGCCCCAACTTCTTCAAACTCTATTCATAAGCTAAGCTATTCATTCCATCATATTATGGTCACTCTTCCCCAAGGAATCTTATACAGCTAGATTTCCAATTATTCCTTTCTCACTTCACAATACCCAGAGTATTTCAGATGTGGTCTGACCAAGGCCCTGCGCAGCTGTTGTAAAATTTCCCTATTTCTGTATTTCATTCACCATGCAGTAAACACCACGATTCTATTTACATCCTGTCAGATGGAGAATTTTCTGATTCTTCCTAACCTCACTCAACTGTGAAGATAAAGTATTTCATATCCTCCCCTAGCTTTCCTGTCATTACTCCATGGAGCTACTGCTAACCAACACTGGTGTTGGCTAAGAAAGTTAAAAAGTAAAAGCTTTGTTAAACCTATGGCACCTCAGTGAATAGTAACATAGTGGAAATGTTAATGGATGAGTAACCTAGCAGCTGGAATAGACGCTGCAGGGACATGAGTTCCAAACCCAAGATAGCTGGTGAAATTTTAATTTTAATAATTGTTTTGGTTAAATAAATCTGGAATATAAATTTAGTCTCAGTAGTGATGGTCTTTAAACTATTGGATTGTTGTGGAAAACAAAACATGTGTTTCACTGATATCATTTAGGAAGTGGAATCTGCTTTCATACCTGATCTAACCTGGGCATAAGTTCAGAACTATAGTAATGTTGGTGATTATTAACTGCTCTTTTAAATGGCCTAGCAAGCTAACCAGTTGTGCCAACCTGCTGCAGAAACATTGAAAACTCTAATAGCTCAGGGACGCCGCTCAGCATCACCTTCTCAAGGTGAAGTTAACGATGGGTAATAAATATTTGCCTTGACAGTGTTGCCTGTATCCCAGGAACAAATAATTAAAGAAAAATACCACCTCCTTAAAAGATTTTAATACCAGATGGAATTGAGCCCTATCCTGTCTCCACTAAAACTGAAATATGGTGAATAACAAGGTGTAGAGCTGGATGAACACAGTAGGTCAGCAGCATCAGAGGAGCAGAAAAGCTGCCGTTTCGGGCCTAGACCCTTCTTCTGAAGAAGAGTCTAGG